CAAATCATCCACGATGCATTGTTAAAATTACTGACACTGAATTTTGAAAATAGAATTCATTTTAACATTGAAATTAAATGAAGAGAAATCTATTTTGAAAATAGAATTCATTTTAACATTGAAGAGAAATCTTTGGATTAGTTCTTAGAACCAGATTATGGTTTGCATCCTTGTAGTGTGTGTGTATACTCTACACATATAAATAGAGAGAGATGGAGATAATAGGGAAGCTTACAAGTTTGCCATCCGGAGAAGTGGTAGAGAGGTGAGCCCCTTCGTAGGGAGGGTTAAGGTGATCCGATCCATTCAACAAGATCTCAAAACATCAAATTGCGTTTCTGAATCTCATAAATCAATGTGTTTGGAAACGAATTTGAATCTAAATCTCTGGTCCGTTCTGTCAAGAGGTCACGGTAGCCCGCAACTGTCAGTCATCCTCCAGTGAGAATATTTTGTTCTCTAGAAGTAGTATTGTAGGAGCAATGTGCTGGAACCCTAGGTTCGATCCCAACTATAATTCGTTTGGGATTTTGAGGACTTATGGAATTGTTGTCTTGCATAGTTTCCCTTCACAGAATATGGAAAATCAATTTTTTTTTTTCTTTTTTTTTAAAAAAAAAAAAATAGCATTGAAGATATGTTTTGTATTTGCATACCTTTTTGTTTTGTACAGAATTCAGGTTCAAATAATGCCAAGCTTTGGGAAAAGAAAATCAAGCACTAATTTTATGTCATCCAGTGTAATATATAATCAGGAAGATTGTATATGTTGTTCTCGCTACACACCAAGAGGGAATAAATATATCTTTATCGGGTAGCGGTAGAGGGCGGATAGGAGAGTATAAAAAAGAAGTAGGGTTGTAATGTTTATTATACTGGAGAAGAAGGTCCATAACTTCATACGGAGTATGATATCAAATCTGGTTTATTTGAGCTCCAGAACTTTGAAACTTAATCCCAATGAAGTATTTGAAAGATAATGGTGCTTGGAAGACAATATCCCTCGAGTGTTGGGAAGATAATATCCTTGGAGTAGTTTAGACGTGCATATATTAGTCTTTATAAAAATAAAGAGAGCTAGGGTTTCTTTTGGACCAACTTTACAAAGTTAGGGACGCATGAAAACCTAGATTAACTTCAATTAGGAATTGGACACCAGAGATCTAAACTGATATTCAAGTTGCTGAAATAATGACTAAATTAATTTATTAGTAGGCAACTCCAAACTTTCTTAATTAAGTTGTGTTTAAGCCCTTTGAACACGGTAATTGAGAATGTAACTAATTTAAACCGAGCATTATATATATTTTTTCTATATATGCATAATAAAAACAATCAAATTGCAAAAGTAGTGAGGACTCAGAATTCATCTTCATCTTAAGGAAGATGACTAAATATAAAATAAGCATAATCCATACCAGGAAGGTCAAGGTGGCTCTTCAAAGCTATTTAGAGCAGTCTGTTTGGAATTGTATTTCAATCTGATCAGAGACTTGGACCGCGTGCAGACAAGGATTTCCATCAAGGTCGTGGTTGCTGGTGATTTTGAATGGCATAATTTACTTGAGAAACTGTTTTACATTTCCCACATACGGCGCCAACTGTTGATGCAAAAATCTACATGCTCCAGAGCCAGTGGTGATTCCTGGAAGACAAGTCCAGAGCGATTCCTTCAAGACAAAAGAGAAGTGACAACCGGCGTGGTCGTTTCCGCATTTCCTTCCGGGAGAGAAGGGATTAGTTAATCGTATCTTTAGTGCAACTTTTGAATTAATCAAATCTTATCATTTAATTACTGTATGAGATAGTCACCTTATCTTAATTACCTTATCAATACGGTTTGGCTTACCCTATCCCCTTAAATTTATCCATACCCCTTTAAGTCTCCATATCATTTGAAATTCTTATCTAGTCGAATATTCCATATCAATATTGTAACGCAGTCAGCGGAGGGTGACTATACATAATAGTAATTGCAATCGTACACGTGATTCCAACTCTAGACTCTACTTGCTTTTTATGATGTGTCCTTCTGTAACAACTTATGGGCCTAAGCTTAAGTGCACCATTTTGAATTCATGTACATGCACTGACCAAAAAATAGAAAATAAAATATAATAATGTCCGTGCTTGAGTTCTCTTCCTTTAATTTGTTAGGAAAAAATTAGCCTACTTGATCAAGCAAACTAGAGAAAAAGAGGTTCAAATACACAGTGGCGGAGCCAGGAATTTGGTTCATGGGGCATGTTAACACTGTCAAAATAATTTTTTTCCAAACAGACCAAAAATATAATAGCGTAACAACATTGCATTAAAAAAAAAAAAAAAAAAAAAAAGAGAGAGAGAGAGAGAGAAAAGTTATTGCACATAAATTATGCATGAGTGTAAGAAAAAATAAATTTATAAGAAGAAAAATAAAATTTTTAAGAAGAAAATGAAATAAAAAGAAAAAAATATGAAAGAATTTTGAAGAAAAAAATATATTTTAATTATAGAAAGAAAATGCAAAAAATTTTTGAAGATAACATATTTTTTTGAAGATGACATATTCACAATTGAAAATTAAAATTTAAAACCTACTTTCACCATGCATTCAATGGTGGAAATTAAGAATACATGAGTTTCTTGTTTTAAATTTAAACATTTTTTAAAATGTTTTCAAAACATGACTAGTGATTCAACATTTAAAAGAAGAGGTATCTTGTCAACATTGAATATACAACTAGATGAATAAATTTTTCTATATTACTTTTTAATATTAACAAAGATTTGCATATTCAATTATTAATTTGTCTTTGTTAGTAAGTACAGTAACACTTATTGTCCTTGTCCAATGGTTAGGTCTTAAGTTTGAAAAACATATCATATTTTACAGCAGAGGATGACTGTACTTAATAAGTGCTATCTGTACACATGATTCCAACTCTAGACTTTAATTTGGTATTTGTGATGTGTCCTTATGTAACAACTTATGGGCCTAAGCTTAAATGCACCATTTTGACTTCATCTACATGCCCACTTGACTCTCACCAAAAAAATAAAAAATAATAATGTCTTTGTTTGAGTTCTCTTTTTTTAATTTATTAAAAAAAAATTAACCTACTTGATCAAGCAAATTAGAGTAAAAAAAATTCAAATACAGACACATTTATTAAAAGAGCTAAACACTCTAGTAACTAACCATTATCATACGGAAAATGTGGCATTTAAGAATTTGGGACCTACAGGCACAAGATTCACGGGACATGACCGTAATACCAGAAGAACAAAATTTATATTAAACTTTGCGAATCTTGAAATAGTTGTGGCCCCTACTGAATATGGACTAAATACCTTTTTTTTGTACGTACATGATTTTCTATTTTTAAAAATAAAGTCTCTTGGCTGCTATACGGACTCACAAAATAAGGTAAGAGGAGACAATAATAAAAAATTTTAAGTAATTTTAAGGGGTCAATAGTAATATTTTAGGGATATGTAGCTGAAAAAGAGTAAATTAGTAAGGTATATTAGTAATAAAAAAAAAAATTCAGCGGGGCAATTGATGTAGGTCCATCCCAGGCTGCTACTAAGTATGAATAAATTTTTTTTTTTTAGACACCTCATTGACACATTTTGAACATTTGACTAATACTTTTAGGATATTTGTTCAAGACATTCTGCACATTTTACATAAAAATGGCAATAGAGTAGTTTGGAGTGGAGAATACCATCTCCATACCATACCTTTTTTAAATAACTATTCCCATCCCACTCCAAAACTAATTTATTAAATGGGATGAGGTGGGGCGTAAAATATTTTCGTAATTATATTATAAATCTAACAAAAGTAAGTGATGAAAATAAAATTTTAAAACATACTTCCGCATAATGCATGATGACAGTGGGAGCTAGTCTACACAGTTGAAAATTAAAATTTAAAACCACTTTCGCATGGTGCATGCATTAGTTGGTGGAAATTAAGAATACATGAGTTTCTTGTTTTAAATTTAAGAAAAATGTTTTCAAAACATGACTAATGATGCAACATTTAAATAAATAAATAAATAAATAAAAGATGTATGTTCACCTAGATGAATAAATTTTTCTATATTATTTTTCAAAATAAAATAAAAAAAAATTGCATATTCAATTATTAATTTGTCTTTGATAGCAAATATCACTTATTGTCCTTGTCGAGTGGTTAGTTCTTACCAGCATGACTGTACATAATAACTGTAATCGTACTTAACTGTACACATGAGTTCAAGTTTCCAACTCTAGACTTTACTTGGTATTTGTGATGTGTCCTCCTGCAACAGCTTATGGTCCTAAGCTTAAATGCACCATTTTGACTTCATCAACGTGCCCACATCTGATCAAAAAATAAAAAATAATAATATCCGTGTTCGAGTTGCCTTCCTTTGATTTGATAGAACAAACAAATTATAAAAAAAGAGATTCATATATAATCACATCAATTAAGAGAGTTGAACGCCCTACTAATTATGTCGCCAAATAATTACCACTAAAAAATGTGACATATAAGAATTTGGGACCTACAGGCATGAATGTAATACTAGAAGAACAAAATTTATACTCCATTTTAAACTGTGTGAACCTTGAAAGGGTCGTGGACCCTACTGAATGTGGAATAAATAGGTTTTTTTTTTTTTTTTTTTTTTTTTTTTTTGTACATACATGATTTTTTTTAAAATTCGTGTCCCTAAGCTGCTACTAAGTATGGATAATTTTTCTTATTTATTAAAATAACTATTCCGATCACAGTCCAAAACTAATTTATTAAACGTGATGGAGGTTGGGCGTAAAAAATTTATAATTGTATTATAAATCTAAAAAAAAAAAATCATATTTTATCAGCAACATATTCCTCTAAGAGCAATCACTTGGATAAAGATTAATTTGCAAAATTTGTACTTTTACATGCGTTCGTCATTAGATTATGTGTGTCAAATGTTTTTATTAGGCTTTAGCATCCCAACCCAGGCTCTCTTTTGCTAATTATAAAGAGAGAACTTTAGTAAAGAGGAGCACAATTCTCTTCTCAATTTTTAATATTTTTATTAGTTCCGGCAATAAATGAGCATAAGGAAAGAAAATGCGTAAGAAATGAAGTCATTTTGTTCATTCCAGCATCTCTATAAGTGTTTTTCGTATTTGTTTGAATTCAGATATCTTGTATGGACTACTAACATTGACAATGAATAGCTGATATGTGTTGTGAACTGATAATAGCTCGGATTATCAATTATGAGGATGAATGGGGGTTTAAGAGCGTGCAAAATAATTCCAAACGTTAAGTCTGTCTCTATCTCCCGTCTTCTCTTCTCTGCACCTCCACATAGGAGCCCCAGTATTCATGGATGCCTTTAATTAATTTACTAAACTGAATAGTGATCAGCTGGCATTACTCAATGACCTAGTTGGTAGAGCACTCAGCTCCCCGAGTGTGCTTACGTTCAATTTTCCTCTGTGATTTTCTTGTTGATGCTGTTGCTTTCTTGACATTTGAGTTGGAACAAATCACTCCATAGTGGGGTGGGGAGGCCGCCCTTCCTGGGTCCTTGGGGATTAGTCGGGGCGAAGCCTTGGTATCCGGGTCATCCAAAAAAAAAATCCAGAAAAGCAATGACTTTTAAGAATCCAGAAAAGCAGAAACAGTAAGGATTCTAAACATAGAAAGGACAATTACCAACTTATAAGATCATAAGGAAAAAAAAAACAAAAAAAAAAAATTCATCTTAAGGCATGCATCAACAATGTTAACAAAAGATGGCCATAAATCATCCCTATTAACAATCCGGGGGAAATCACATTGTCTAATCACTCAGTAAAGAAGATCACATATAAATTCCAAGTTTCAGCTAAAGTTATCCTCTGTAACTTTACTAATACTCGAATGGTACTAATACTCGTCATCTACTAATACTGTAACTTTCTTGTTTCACACACACACAAAGTGACATTTAGATTCAAAATGGGAACATTAACCTCATAAGACCAGAAAAATGGGAACTCTGGTTCCTTTTCATGTGTTTGCAATGTGCTCTGCTTTGTGCTGAAGGAAATTCTGAAATCTAATTGCAATATGGAGAAAAGGGGAATGTAATCACTCAAGACATGCATTTTAAGAGGAACTTCTGTAAAATTGTACAATTAGTTCAATTCAAGTATGAAAAATCCAATTTTAAACCAGGCTTGGCCAATGGACATATGACTGTGGTGGTGATATCTAAACTTGGCTAGGGTTAGCTGGTGACACTCCTAATTATGTAGTCCATGCAAAAATATGTTGATAACCTAAAACTCATAAACAACCTACACTGGAACATGTTTTGACAGCAATGCATATACATATAGTGATCATCAGAAAATCCACTTATTAAACAATTTACAATGTTATTGGTAAATGGTGTCCTTGGACATGAACTCTAAAAGGTAAAGGCTGTTTCAGCCTCTGCAACATCCATAAATAACATATCGCTTGATTCTTTTTAGATAGTTTCAACAATAAAGCTTAAAATCACTAAATTCATGCATCCTATCAAATCTAAGAAAACTATTTGCATTACATTTTTACATTTTTCATTCTTCCTCGATGCTTTAATTTAGTCCACAATGAAAATTTCACATACAATATATTTGAGCAGACAGACAATAATGAAACACTAGAGGATGAGCTTTATCTTCAATATTGTTAATGCATGGGTTGAAGTGTTGAACACAACGAAGTTGCATTTATAGAAGAGAATTGATCTCAAATATAAAGCGCACAGCCAATACAAATTCCAATGGAAACATGGCATCAAAGAGCACTAGAGGATGAGCTTTATCTTCAATATTGTCAGAAAAGAATTCGATTGATAAAATGGTTCATTCAAATACCAATGGTTAATAAAGAATACTAGTGATTCACGCACCAAGAGTGATAAATCAATATATGGCATAAGGTTTACCAAATCATAGTTGGTCTTGCACTTTGCTATAGGTTTAACAGACAACATACGTAGAAATTAAACAAGATCATATTTACTTAGAGAAGCAATAATTTTAGAACAATTATTGTATGTAACGTAATACCCTTGCCTAAGCTTCCCAAGCATGAATTACCACCACTTTCTCGTGTCCGATAAGTACTAAAAGCCTGAGCTTCCAGCAGTGCCTACATATCCTGAACTTCCCAAATCCTGAGTTGCCAACGATACCAAAGTCAGAAGCACAAAAATCGCATGAGAAGATGATTCATGCAATTCTGGTAAGTTATGTTTTAATGCACTGCTCCTGATGTGTTTAAATTACATGTGAATTTCATTTGAATCAACCCAAAACGCAAGCAATCACTAGACGAGCATACAAGCCTATTCTCTGCTACATTGGTCAAGAAATCACTACACAAACATGCAAACCTTCTCTCTTCTACATTGGTTTTGATGCTAGTTCAATGTACCCTTTGTATAATTAAGATTATCTATGTTATCCTCATTACTTGTATGACCTCGGGGTGGTTAGAATTTCCGCTACACATCAAAATCAAACAAGACCTTACAAAAGTGCTATAGTGTTAATTCGAGTGAACCATGCTGCAACAATATTGTTGATGCAACGAGTAGGATATGTAAAAATATCCAAATCCAACCCCAAATTGGATTTGGATATATATCCAAAATTTTGCTAAATTGAATTTAGACAAGGAGGAGGTCATTGTCTAGCCAATATATCCAAAAATTTTGAAATAAAACATAGAGTCAAATACAATATCTAATATAATAAACAAAATAAATAAAATAGAAATAAATAACATTGAAAGCACTCGAGGATGAACTTTATCTTCATTATTGTCATAAAAAGAATTTCTGCCTTCATGAATATAATTCATTCCATCATTCATGCTCCAAGAGTCTAGTACATCTCACTATAATCTAGGCTTTTAACTGCATATATATCCAATATTTAGATTACATACGAAAGGTAATTTACTCCCAGAATAGGACATTTACTCTTCAATATGTCTTTGACATTTACTCTTCAATATGTCTTTCTTCTACTTTCCCCCTTACTCTCTACTTCCGATTTGCGAGTATGAGGAGCCAAGTTTCAAATTGATGTTGCCTAACTGCAGCAACGGCTATAGATCATCATCCAAAAGCACATCTGATGCAGATTTAATTTCGACACTTACATCTAATTCAGAGTCAATATATTTTAACTAAACAAAAACAAATGCGACAGCAATGAACACAAGTCTAATATCATTTACGAGAAAAAGAAAAAGAAAAAAAGTCTAATTTCGCTGAAAGACATCTGCTTTGAGCATTACAAAAATTTGGTACTTTAAATAAATAAACACACACACACACACTAGGAAACAAAGGAAGCATAAATAAACAGAACCTTTCGGACAGCCCCAGGAATATCATCCCAACAAAAAAAAGGATTCACTCACCTTATGAGCTGCATAATTAGACTTCAAAAGTTAATCGCTTTGTCCAATACCTCATTTTGCTACTATCCATCGTCCGTATGCGACAACAATCTTCCAGTGGATTATAATCAAAATAAAAAACATGACTCAGTCTACTTATAGCCAAAATAAAAAAATAAAAATAAACATAAAGAGTAATTCCCCCAACACGAAAATACATGGATGGCTTTGTTGAGCACCATCTGGCAGCAATATCTTCAAAAGCTTCAATACCCAATTTGAAACGCAGAGAGTGTAAACATAAACCCTCGGTGAAACATCCTTAACTGCAGTCCAATAGGCAGCTCTGTTCATGAATACAGGTGGCCAAAAGTCAAAAGTTTCACATAAACCATCGGTGAAACATTCCGCTGCACACACATCAATTTTGTCCCTCCCATCAATCCCTGAGCACTTGGCTCACCCGGGCCTACATGCCAGTCACTCTTGGCCTGCATGCCCGACTCAAAATTAAACCCGACCAAAGGCACAATTATAGCCGACAAAGCAAAAACATCAGTCTGGAAACTCCCGGAAAAGCTAGAAATAATTCCGGACATCCCAAAACACATTCTCCGCATGTCATTTAGCACATAAGAGCACATAGAAAAGGGAAAGAAAATCGGAAATAGAAAACCGGTCTTTACAGGCCCACAGTGGTTGGTAATTTCATTTAGTAAAATATATACTTTTTAAACTCATTGTTTATGTTTCTTAAAGCACAATATATCAGAAGTAATAGTTGAGACCATCCTTTGCATTGCGTAAATGAATAAAATGGGCTCTCAGCTTGATATTAAAGCTATAATAAATAAAGAAGCATTGTGTTTTCCTTCGATGAAGAAATTTTCGACCGTTAATGCTCTCGTGTCTAAATAAACTACATCCTTTTCATGTGTTTGCAATTTGCTTGCTTTGGAACGTAATCACTCAAAACATTAATTTTAAGAGGAACTTCTACAAAATTACACTATTAGTTCAATACAAGAATGAAAAATCCGATCTTTAACAATGCTTGGTCAATGGACACACAAGCACATGTAGTGCACTGCTGTGGTGATATCTATTCTTCGCTAGGGATAGCTGGGTGCAGTGTTGTTAAAGGCGCGCCTAAGCTCAAGGCGCAGGTCTACTAGGTGCACGCCTCGGTTATGCCTTGTCCTGCGCACCTCACTGATTTTTTTTTTTAAAAAAAACTATGATTATTCTATTTCTTAAGCCAAAAAGGATACTTTTGGCAACTCAATAAACAAATAAGAAAGCCCAAGCGTACGAGATAAGAAACTTTTGTTCAAAAGAATAAACAAAAAAGAAAGTCCAAGAGAAAGTGTCAACCAAACAGAGAAGAAGTAAGAACGTGAGACGAACGGCGAAGCCACGTCAGTTCTTTCTTACTTCTCTCTCCTTTCTTCTCCTCTACTCCTCTCTTCTTATCCTTGTTTACACCTCTCTCTATCTAGTTCTCTCTTCTTATCTTTGTTTTTTTTTTTTGGTGGGGGGGGGGGGGGGGGGGGGGCTATGTTTTTTCTTTTCTTTTCTTGTTAACAGTTTTTTTAGTTAACAAATTTATTTATTTTTGAGCTTTGTTTTGCCATTCAAAAAAAACAAATTTTGCTTTGCCTTTCAAGAAAACAAATTTGTGTTATGCTTTATGATTGTTGGATGCTTGTTTAGTTGATGGATTTACTTTTTTATATTTGATATTAATTTTTAGAGTATTGATATGACTTATAAGATATGAATGTTTTTATGGTAGTTTAAATTTTCAATTGTGCGCCTCACTTCACTCACACACGCGCCTCGTGCCTAGGCTCCAAAGGACCTCTAGCACCTTGGGCCTTTAATAACACTGGCTGGGTGACACTCCTAATTACATAGTGCAGGCAAATATATTGATCACCCAAAACTTATGTGGGTGACACTACATACAGCAATGCAAATAAAGTGATCATCTGGAATCAACTTAAACAATTTACAATGTTATGGGTAAATGGTGTCCTTACTCTTTGCACATGGAACTCTAAAAGATTTAAGTCTATTTCAGCCTCTGCAACCTCCAAAACGCGCATAGCACTTGTTTCTTTTTAGATACCTTTCAAAATAAAGTTTAAAATTACAAAGTGCATGCATCCTATCAAGCTAAGAAAACTATTCGCTTTACATTTCTAGAAGAGGACATTATTCATTATTCCTCAATGCTTCTGCAGGGAAACCAAGTTGAAGGTTATAGTTTAGTCCCTAAAGCAAATATTCTGTTCTTGACATAAAATATATTTGAGCAGCTAAAGCCAGTAATGGAACACTAAGACATGAATTGTGGTTTCACTTGGAGATCAATACTACCAACTTGTTAATGCATGGGTTGAACACAATAAAGTGGCATTTGAAGAAGAGTAACTCATGAAAAATAAAGCACACTGCCCAATACAAATTTCAATCGAAAGACGGCGTCAAAGAGCACTAGAGGATGAGATTTATCTTCAATATTGTTAGAAAATAATTTGAATGATAAAATGATTCATCCAAATACCAATGGTTAATAAAGAATGCTAGTTATTCATGCTCCAAGAGTAAGTGATGAATCGGTAGTATATTGCATAAGGTATACTACACCATAGTTCGTTTTGCACTTTGTGCCGGCCCTAATAGACAACATACTATTATCTGCATATGGTAATTCAACTAGATCATATGTACTTGGAGATGCAATAAATGTAACACACTGTATTGCAGACATAAACAAACCAAATTTCAAATTAATGCTGGCCACCGTAGCAATGACAAATATCATAGTTCAAAATGAGAAGTCTGATGCAGATTTAATTTTGATATTTATATCTGCCTTCGAGTCAATGTATTCACTAAAAAAATAAAAAGAAAAAGGTGCAGCAATAGACACAAGTCTAATTATATGACAAAATGAGTTAAAAAATTACCTCACCTCTCTTTCTGCACTTAGCTGGTTCCTTTAATTTTTAGCTTCAAGCCACTCCTCAAAGTCCATGCTTCTTGAGATGTTCCTTGTAAATAGCTGCATCACAAGCATCTGCTAGCATTTTTGTTTTTTCTTTTTCTTTTTCTGCTAGCTATAATTCACTATCAAGTGGAAAAAGACACTCTGCACCATCAAGTTGAATTAAACTCTCCACGTAAAAATATGCAGACAAATTCCATAAAAATGAATGGATTCCAAGATCCTTAGCTCTTTGGGTCTCAAAGTTATAAGATACCAGATCTTTCTTGCGGTTTATTTGTAGCAGTTCACCACTCTTTCTCAGACCAAACAGGTTATAAGGTGTGTCATGGAAATTAACGGTAAATTGTTTTGTCCAAGAACCCAATTTGCCACACTCCTTTGTCCATATGTCACACCTTTCATTCAGTGCAAAACGATAATATCGGAAAAAACACAGTGATTCCCCCAACACTGGATAAAAATGGCGAGCACCAGGCAAAACTTCATCCCACAAATCTGGGCCATAAGGAGAATAATGTCGAGCACCATCGGGCAGCATTACCTCGTCAAAAACTTCATCCCCCAAATCAAAACGCACAAGTAAACAACAATTACCCTCATCAGTTCTCTTTACTGCAACCCAATACGCAGCTCCATTCACGATTGCAGGTCTATTACCAATAAAATCATACGCAGGGGCAACATCAATTCTTTTCCAAGAGTCCGTGCTTAGACTATAAACCTCAGTTAGGAATTGACTTTTATAGGGCAATGGTTTATAAATATCATCCCTCAAGCACAAAATCCTCACAACCTTGTAATCATTAACTCCGGGGAGGAACCCAAATGCCAGATGGGCTAGATAGGTGCGAAGATAATCCAAATTGGGGTCGATAATTAGAGAATTAGGAAGGGTTTTTAGTTTTCTAAGTGCTGGGTTCCATAAGCGTATTGTTTCTTCATTAGACAAGCATACGAGGCCATTACAGGACCCGTACATCGTTAAAGATTGTTTGAGGATGTGTGAGGGAAGCTGAGGTTCAAAATACTGGTGAAAAGATTCATCATCATAACGTATTGAGTAACGGTCAATTCTTGTAAGTTCAGATTTGTAGCTTAGGATGATGTGAGTGCTTTGGCTTGAAGTTTTGAGATGTGCTTGAATGAAGGCAGGGTCAATAATTAGAGAGTACCATGATTTGCAAACTGACCTGAATCGGAGTAGTGATTTTACCGACAGTCTGACGAGGATCTGAATCAAGATTTCTTCAGGGATATGGCAAAGATTCGAGTTTGACTCTGCTCTGCTCATCCTTGCCATTTTGTTTTCCTCCGCTGCTGCTGCTGCAGTGCTGCGAAGTGGGCAATACATGAAAACCCTAGATTTTGATAATACAGGTAAGAAGCGTTTGCCTCTATATATATTGAATTCAGAGCGAATCAAAATTGATCCGATTCGAATTCCATAAAGGGTTTGTTTGGTTAGCAGATAGAAACTGAAAATATTTAAATTTGTTAGGAACTTTTTTTTTTTTTTTTTTTTTTTTTTAAAGGTAAAGATATTTGTTAGGAATTTGGTTAGACTAGAAGAGAATAATTTTTTAAAAAGTAATTTTCTTGCAAAGATTTTGAATTTTCCTCAAAATTTTTCTAACATAAAACCTAAGGAACTTTCTCATGAAAGCCGTGTTGTTATTATTCGAATATTCAATTTCGAAAACTCTATTGGAAAAGATTTATTTTTCTGTTTAAAACATTTAGGCTTTGTAAAATATTTTTTAAAAAATATTATTTTATTTGTTGGTAGTTGGTTGTGATAAAATATTTTTTTTAAAAAAATTTACTAAAACTTAACAAAAATAACTTACTCATCAACTTTTGGATAAATTATTTTACATATCCCACAAATTCAACCTCAATTTCATTTAAATATTTATCAAATACTAAAAAATATTTTACCTGAAAAAATATATATATATATTTTACATCCAAACAAATTGAGGAAAAAAAAGAAATCGCCAAACAAAACAATTAGGAAAAAGGAGAGAATTCAGAAGGGAAAAAGAAAAGAGTAAAAATAAAGTATTTAACTTTTGGATAATACTTAGGTCCTCACTAGTGAGGATGTACACTATCTTCATCATTTATGTGGTCCAAAGAAAAGAAAATACGTCATCTTTTATTAAAAAGGTCAAAAAAATAAAATAAATCGGATCCTATCTTAATGAGATATGATAAGGTGGGTTCAGCAATTTATGTGGTTCTCTCTCATTTCCGGCACTTCCTTCAACCCTATCTCTCCACTATCTTCTTCTTCTCGGGCTTCTAGTCCTATATATCATCATTTAATTGGCAAGAATATTCGAAGGATGTGATACCCTCGGATCTTCGAATGCAGGTTGGCCAGTCCCACGCTTGAACGCCCGAGGATATAAAAAACAAATAGCAATAATCGAATACAAGAAACAAACATGATAAAAAGAAATAAATAAAATTACTGAAAGAAAATTAAAACGATGATCCATTAATGAAATCCTAAGAATAAATTTTTATAAATAAGAAAATATTCTTATACATCCAATCCTCCATCACCAATACAACTCGGGAATCCATACCATGTGGACCCCTAGAAAATCCCAACTGAACAAGTGACTATATCAGAACACTGAAATATAAAGAAAACTTCTATGTAAATAATCCGGAAGAGTGAAGTAGACGATCCTTGCTCAGGACGAACAATCACTACTCCTGACGAATACCTGAAAAATAAGGGTAGGTCAGGCTCATAAACAAGTTCTATTCTAATTACAGTCCAAGCAGAGACCCGATACGCTCCGTAAATATGTATATATATATCCACACTACAGGACACTCACTGGACTACAGGCCAGTCTCAACCTGACTAGTAGGCAGCATGCAAAACGCACCTGGAGTGGGCATGAGTACCTAGACCAAGTAGGGTACACATCAAACCGTCATAGCCAGTTATGCATCCCACTGTATATACGCACCCTAACCATCGACTCTGAGACTCAAGTTCATATCAAGGTACCATAATCATATATATATAATATCCTTCCTAATGCAGAACATAAAAACAAACATCCAATATGCCATTCAACTGTTTTAATTGACCTGACATGAATATATTTCAGAATAGGTAGGAGTTAGCGTTTTGATCTAATCCATACCTAATATATCGCCGTCCCATACCGGTGCATATAATCCACAATCAATCCAATAATTGATAAAATAGATAAAGTAGTTCATCAATTTAAAATCCAGAATAACATCCATGTAATTGACAGAACATAATTTAATAGTTCATCAATTTCAATCCAGAATAATATCCATGTAATTGACAGAACAGAATTTAATAGTTCATCAATTCAAATCCAGAATAAGCATAATGAAATCTAATAAGTATATGACCCTATTATGCATCCAATACAATTTTAAAAATCCCGTCCCAGTCATTTAAGTTGCTAAAATTAGATTAAGCAATTAAATCCTCCTATCCGTTAACATTATGCAAAATTGTTCAAACTTTGATACTGTTCAATCCATTAACATATAGACATTAATTATGAAATATGGGGTTCTAATATATCATGAAACAAGGTTTAGAATCCTTAATAATAACCCAGAACAGTCCAGGAACTCCAAAAATATCAAAATTGTACCCAAAACCAAGTCCAGTACACCTTTATGCATGAGAGCTTGCTCTTAACTAATGGGAGCCGGCTCCCCTACCTTGGGAGCCGGCTCTGTGACTTAAGGAGCCGGCTCCCTCAATCCATAGAGTCGGTTCTCTCTCTCACAAAGAGCCGTGGCCAAAAAATCTTAGGGAGCCGGCTCTGTCCTTACTTCTCGTTATCATCTTTGCCTCCGATGACGTAAAATAACCTTCTATAATGTTTTATTTAAGTTCCTAGAGGTCCAACAATGTCCCGTATCATCCAGAATAACACATAAACTCAACATGCATCAGTACAAGATGTAAAACAGAATATGAAACAATTTGAGCAGTAATTAAATTTCAATTAATCAACACATAGAATACAGTTTAAAACCCGAATTAACATGCATACTTAATCATTATTAATATCCATTTAGTTCCTGGAGACTACCTAGGCATGCACAGAACACAGGTCAAAGGAAAAGAGCAAGAAATAGAACTTGCCTCTAGGTTTCGAATTAAAACCTTTAACCGTCCTTTGTCTAGACTTTCTGGCGACCTCTGATTGTCGTTAACTCCTTTGTTGCCCTAGGTTCAACCAACGAGCAAGCCTCAATAGCCTCTCCTTGGTTCAGCCCCTTGTTCCCAGCCAAACCCATATTATTCCTTTCAGTTTTCTCTCAAACCTCTCTATAATTCTCTCTGCCTCCATTGCTCCGTGAATATGGTTGTGGTACCCCTCGGATCCAAGACACGGGTTGATCAGGCCCAGGGCCAAACCCGAGGGATATCGAACAATTAATATTTATAACGAACACAGATTACAAAATGAAATAAGAATTAAAATTTTAAGAGCCGAAAGAAACTAAAATAGAAAATCCTTAAATAATTAAATACTTAAATCCGATAATCCAAAACTCCATAATTTGAACAACTTGGGAATCTATCTCTAGTGGACCCCTAATAAAAGCTCCAAACTGTATGAAAGTAAAACTGAAGATAAAATCCAAATTTAACATCTGGAAATAAGTCCTACATCGTCGGTAGAGAGAATAGAAACCTCTCCTCAGCACGAACACGTCTAAGTCTGGAACTGTCCTGTACCTGAAAAATAAAAGTGGGTCATGCCCACGCGCAAGTTCTATACTATTACAAATCAAACAGAGACTCGATACGCATATACACTCTAAACAATTCAACAATCGCTAATAGTCCGTAAATATACATATAGTCACACTAAAGGACTTTCACTGGACTATAGGCCGGTCTCAACCTGAATAGAGGTAACATGCTAAAACGCACACAAAATGGGCATATGTACCTAAACCTAAATAGGGTACACCTCCAACCATCGTATTCAGCTATGCATCCCAATGCATATACGCTCCCTAACCATCTATCATGAGACTCAAGCTCATATCGTGGTACCATAACAATATATTTAAAATCCATCCTATATCCTAGTAGTGCCGTTCAACTAGTTGTTGCCATGATACTACATTTCAATAGGACTTAACCTTTGGTTAATCCATTCCTAAATCCAGAATAGGTAGGTTTTGGTGTTTTGAATCCAAACCGTCCCTAGTATGTCACCGTCCCATATCGGTGCATACTCTAACCATCCAGCAGTTGATAACACAGACAACTAAAGTAATTATCAACTAAATCCATACATCCAACAATTTATACCAACAATAGTAATGTAAGCATTGATAAGTAGAGTAAAAGTATACACATAAACATGCTCAGCACATACAGTTCCATAAAATCCGGTATACTATTACGTGTAAATCCTACTAAATCCTACTAACTTCCAACAGCCAAGAGTTGATAGTACAGATATTAAAGTAATTATCAACTAAGTTCATAACTCCAACAACTGATACTAACTGTAATCATGAAAACATCAAAACAGAATTACAGTAGGTATATATACGTATTTAACTTATAATGTTCCCAGAATCCAGTAGTGCTAAGTTTGTTTAAAACCTAAATAACTCGATACCAACTCATCCAAAACAAATATAATTCAAGTACATGATCATGATATGCAGTGAAACATGTTTTAATTATATTATCCGTCTCAGAAAATTGCTAACAGAATCTTTAACTCTAAACAGTGTATTAATTGATTTAAACCATCTATTGTCTGAGCTACCCAAGTAATTATTTTATTAACACCTCTTGGGACCTTAATAATTATCTCTAAGCATCCTCCATACTTCCCACATACATCACCACACCCAACTGAAACCGCAGAAAACCAACCCCTGTAAACAAAATCTGGCTGGACACGAAAAAAAAATGAAAAATGCATAAAGGAGCCGGCTCCCCAAAGTTTGGAGCAGCCTCCTTTAGCATTGGAGCCAACTCCAAACCAAAGGAGCCGCCTCCAAATTAAAAGGAGTTGGCTCCCTCTTAGGGAGAGCCAGCTCTCTCCCTCTCTGCCTCGTCTTCTCCGATTCCGACGTCTTCTGCACCTTCTATATCCTTCTACTATGGTTTCCAGAGATTGAAACTAAACCTCTAAATATTCCCAGTCTATGTTTAAGCCCTTATTACATCACCAACATGAATTTAAATAAACAATCATGCAAGTAAAATTCATGTTTTAACAGGTTTCCATGCACACAACACATACTGATATGTTTCAGTTTTTAGCACGAACAGAAAACATCTTTTGTTTTAATTGATTCAATTTAATCCTAGAATTATTTAGGAATGTAAAGAACACGAAATCTAAGGGAGAGAGTAAGGATAGAACTTGCCTTACACCGACGTTCGTCTCAAATTTCCGGCAAAACCTCTGTTTCTTCACTTGGTTGTTTCCCCAGACGTCTCCAAACTTTCTGTGTCTTA